GGCAACTTGGTGAGACCTCATCTCTACAATTAAAAAAAACAAAAAACTAGCTGGACGTGGTAGCATGCACCTGTAATTCTGGCTACTTGGAAGGCTGAGGTGGAAGGATTGCCAGAGCCCAGCAGGTCGAGGCTGTGGTGGCTGGGAGCGTGCCACTGCACTCCAGTCTGGGCAACGGAGTGAGACTCCAACTAAAAAAAAAGTTACTTAAATACATTTGCCTCTTTTTTTTTTGAGTCGGAATCTCACCCTGTCACCCAGGCTGGAGGGCAGTGGCACACTTACAGTCACTGCAGCCTCAGCCTGCTCGGCTTAGGCGACCTTTCTGTCTTAGCCTTCCAAGTAGCGGGAACTACAGGTTGAGCCACCATACCCTGCTAAGTTTTTTGATTGATTGTGCAGTCGAGGTCTTGTAAGTTGCCCAGGCTGAACCCTCAGGCTCAGGCAATCCTCTCATTTCCACCTCACAAAGTGCTGGATGACGGGCATGAGTCATCTCGCCCGGCCAGGAACGATACTCTTTATAACCCATAACCAGAAAGGAGGGAGGGTGAACGTGCAGCCTCAGGCTGGTCAAAGAACAAGAGAAGGTCAGAGAGAGACTGTTTTCCCAGCCTGCTTTGAGGCCTCCAAGCACCCCAGCACTACAACTAAAGACTGTGCGTTATGAACCAGTAGCCGTGGATGAAACAGGAATATCAGTACCTCACTTGGCAAGTGGCGGCACATTCTGGTAGCCCCATTGGTGTTCAGTCCTTGAGGGTGTCTCTCCCTTATCTGCCTGTTTGTTCTACTACTGCCTTAGAAGTGGAAGTATTTAAAAAAAAATTCCTTGTCTTTTTGGCAGAAAGAAACTCCCAGACTGGTTCCTACCTGAAAATGGGTCCCTTATTGAGTTAGAGACATGGATGCAGTTTCTACCATGAATCTTCACAGCTTTACTGTTGTTTTATGCTAATGAATTCTATGGACTATGCTCCTTCTCTTTTAGTTTATTCTTCTTTCTTTTCCTGTTGCTACTTGTCACCACCCCTGCCAACTCCCTCATTGCACTGTAAAAGTGTTTATGTAATATTGGTGATTCCAAAGTTTTCTTGTATTACCTTTGGGTGTTTTGTTGAGACACCACCCCCATTTTATGAGTAAGTATATTACAGCATGAACCCAGAGAGCCTGTCCTGGTGACCGGCAACGAAGTGATGATGCCCAGTGGCAGTGTGCATAAGAAAATGTTAATTTTTAGGGGAAAAATTTCATTAGAAATTACTTTTGGGGAATAAAATATTGGCTAATGTTTGCAAATGTTTTTAGAGGAAGGCAAAAGATTACCACTAAAAAGAACTTCTCACTGAAAGCATCTCTGTTCAATCCCTTAGTTTTTAAAGGATCTCAGGTGGTATCTTTGTTTTCTTTTTTTTTTTTTTTTAGAGTTGAGAGTCTCACTCTGTCGCCCAGACTGGAGTGCAGTGGCCGATCCCGGCCACCGCAGCCTCGACCTGCTGGGCTCCGGCGATCCTTCCGCCTCAGCCTTCCGAGTAGCTGGAATTACAGGCGCGTGCTACCACGCCCGGGTGATTTTTTGATTTATTGTAGAGATGAGGTCTCGCTGCCCAGGTGGGTCTCGAACCCGCGGGCTCGGGCCATCCACTCACCTCGGCCTCCCAAAGACGTGGGATGACAGGCTGAGCCACCGAGCCCGGCTGGTATCTTTGTTTTCACTTGTTTAATGCAATGTCATCCCTTGAATGTTGTCTTCAGCAATGCTTGACATAGTCTGAGAGCCAGCAGACAATTCTGACCCAGAGTTATCAGTGGACAGTGGACAATGCAAGAAGAAGAAATAAACGATGCAGGGCTTTGCCGACAACAACAACAAAAAATTACAAGAGGAGTGTGACAGGCCGGGCACGGTGGCTCACGCCTTTAATCCTAGCACTTTGGGAGGTTGAGGCAGGAGGACTGCTTGAGCCCTAGGCAACATGGGGAGACCCCTGATTCTACATAAAATAAAAAAGTATGTAAGTCGGGTGTGGTGGTGTGTGCCTGTAGTCCCAGCTACTTGGGAGGCTGAGAAGAGATTGCTTGAGCCCAGGAGTTGGAGACCATGGTCGACAGAGTGAGATCCCAACTCAAAAAAAAAAAAAAAAAAAAAAAAAGAGACAGACAGAGGCTTTCCAAAGGATGTTCATATTCTGTATTTAAAAACCTCACTAATATATTTTTTTCTGTTTTAGACTAATGATGTCTACAAGGCCAGGCAATGTTCATGTTCATATTTCCTGAATGCTTAGAACAGGGCCATGCCTGGAGCAGACACCCAATAAATACTAATTACTAATGATAATATCCAAGCTACTTTATTAGTATAGAATAATTCCACAGGCTTCCCTATTGGTTTGTCTGGTCCTAAGCCTATTAACATCTGCTGTGTCAGTAAATCGACGTTAAAAATTCTCTGCACTTCTCAAAGTCATCCAAGCAGCCAATAAACATATGAAAAAGTGCTCAGTTTCGCTAATCAACGGAGAAATGCAAATCAAAAGTACAGTGAGATACCAACACACACCAGTCAAGACAGCTATCATTAAAAAGTCAAAAAACAAAGCCGGGCTTGGTGGCTCAGCCTATAATCCCGCACCTTTGGGAGGCTGAGGTGAGTGGACTGCTTGAGCCCATGGGTTCGAGACCCGCCTGGGCA